AGAAACGTTAGTTAGGGCCACAAAATTGTTACTCAGGGACAGACACAGAATTGTTACTGAGGGCCACAGAACTGTTACTTAGGGCCACAGAACCGTTACTTAGGGCCACAGAATTGTTACTCAGGGACAGACAGAATTGTTACTGAGGGCCACAGAACCGTTACTTAGGGCCACAGAATTGTTACTCAGGGACACAGAATTGTTACTTAGGGCCACAGAAACGTTACTCAGGGACACAGAATTGTTACTGAGGGCCACAGAACTGTTACTTAGGGCCACAGAAACGTTACTCAGGGACACAGAATTGTTACTCAGGGACAGACACAGAATTGTTACTGAGGGACACAGAATTGTTACTGAGGGCCACAGAAACGTTAATCAGGGACACAGAATTGTTACTGAGGGCCACAGAACCGTTACTTAGGGCCACATAAACGTTAATCAGGGACACAGAATTGTTACTGAGGGCCACAGAACCGTTACTTAGGGCCACATAATTGTTACTCAGGGACAGACACAGAATTGTTACTGAGGGCCACAGAACCGTTACTTAGGGCCACATAAACGTTAATCAGGGACACAGAATTGTTACTGAGGGCCACAGAACCGTTACTTAGGGCCACACAGAACGTTAATCAGGGACACAGAATTGTTACTGAGGGCCACAGAACCGTTACTTAGGGCCACAAATTGTTACTCAGGGACAGACACAGAATTGTTACTTGAGGGACACAGAATTGTTACTGAGGGCACAGAATTGTTACTGAGGGCCACAGAACTTAGGGCCACAGAAACGTTACTCAGGGACACAGAATTTTTACTGAGGGCCACAGAACCGTTACTTAGGGCGACACAAATTGTTAATCAGGGACAGACACAGAATTGTTACTGAGGGACACAGAATTGTTACTGAGGGCCACAGAACCGTTGTTACTTAGGGACACAGAATTGTTACTGAGGGCCACAGAATTGTTTACTTAGGGCCACAGAATTGTTACTCGGGACACAGAATTGTTACTCAGGACACAGAATTGTTACTGAGGGGACACAGAATTGTTACTGAGGGCCACAGAACCGTTACTTAGGGCCACATAAACGTTACTCAGGGACACAGAATTGTTACTGAGGGCCACTGAACAGAATTGTTACTTAGGGCCACAGAATTGTTACTCAGGGACACAGAATTGTTACTGAGGGCCACAGAACCGTTTACTTAGGGGCCACAGAATTGTTACTCAGGGACAGACACAGAATTGTTACTGAGGGGGACACAGAATTGTTACTGAGGGCCACAGAACCGTTACTTAGGGCCACAGAACCGTTACTCAGGGACACAGAATTGTTACTGAGGGCCACAGAACCGTTACTTAGGGCCACAGAATTGTTACTCAGGGACAGACACAGAATTGTTACTCAGGGACACAGAATTGTTACTCAGGGACACAGAATCGTTGAATTAAAGAGTATGTCAGACAACATGCAGAGGAGTGGCAGAGGAGGCAATGTTTTAGGAGCGAGCAGACGTGGCAGCAGAGGAAGGGGTCGAGGCAGCACTATTCGCAGCCAGAGGCCAGTGCTCCCGGTGTCATCCAGTGGTCGTCGTGTCTCCACCGACAACCCTGCCGTCATCGATTGGTTGGCTCGGTCGTCTTCCTCTTCCCAGGTCACCTCTGACACCTACAGCCAACGGTCGGTGGGTACGTCAGACACAACCGTTAGTTGGCATGGCCCGGGAGCAAGCCCACTGAAATCACGTGTCCTCTACCTGCCCCTGTCCTTTGCTGTTCCCTCACCAAGCGAAGTATCGCATGCTGTGGGCTCAGCCCCACTGTACAGTGAGGAAGAGCTAACAGAGGGCGGTCAGGAACGGGGGGAGACATCCGCCTTTTCAGCAGCCAGGCGAAGAAGTACTGGCGAGGAGAGTGGCTCGGTAGCCGGTCTAGAGACAGGTCTGTCTCCTGACCCAGACGCAGCCGAGGGGGCTAGTAGTGAGGCGGAGACCCTACTTGATGATGAGGAGGTTGATCGCACTTGGCAGCCTCGTCGTCATCAGGTAATTTCTTCCGCATCATCAGGAGAAGAGGGTGCCAGCTTGGCAGCGAGCGAAACAGTCGGTGGGTTGCCCAGGAGGCAGCAGGGTCGCAGCAGTGTCAGTGGAGCCAAACGGCCACGGAGTAGAGCACCAGCTCCACTGCAGCCTACCACCACGGCCAGTAGTGTGTGCCGGTGTGCACGGAGGAAGTAGCAGTCAGCCAGTGAGGAGTATCGGGGGCAAAGTTTCCTACTCGGTGGTGTGGCAATTTTTCGTCAAGCCGCCCGAGGAAGTAAACGTAGCCGTATGTCGACTATGTGGCCAGAAAGTCAAGCGTGGCCAGGGGGCCCATGTTGGGACTACAGCGTTGCGTCAGCATATGCAGCGTCGCCATTCGGTGGCCTGGGAAAACCGTGATAAAGATACGGCGGTTCTGCCTGCCCCAGCCCCCGCTCCATCACCCGCTCCGTTACTTGCTCCGTCACCCGACGTCAATCGCCCTCTATCAGCCAGTCAAGGCTCCAACACCTCTGCTGAGGGGAGTTGTCGCTCGTTGGCATCTTCCGCTCGTTCAGATGCTCCTTCTCCTGCTACTCCTCTTCTCGGATTCCGTCAGCAGTCTTTCTTGGAATCCGTTTCCAAGAGACAACAGTTTGCGAGCACACGCACCCGACGGTGCAAAAGCTGAACGTCCTCCTGTCCAAGTTGCTGGTGCTGCAGTCCCTCCCTTTCCAACTGGTGGACTCAGCACCTTTCCGAGAAATGATGGCTTGTGCCGCGCCGCGGTGGAGAGTGCCAAGCCGTCATTTCTTCGCCCAAAAGGCAGTGCCAGCCCTGCATTCACATGTAGAAGAGATGGTGGGCCAGTCTTTGAGCATGTCGGTCTCTGCCAAAGTGCACGGCAGCGCCGACGTGTGGAGCTGTAACTACGGTCAGGGACAGTACATGTCATTTACGGCCCACTGGGTGAACGTGGTGCCGGCACAGCCGCACCAGCAACTTGGACAGGTCACGACGCTTTTGCCTCCACGTTTGCACGTCCTTGGTCCAGCAAAGATGTCCGCCCTCTACCACCTCTTCTTCCGCCGTGTCCTCAGCCGCCACCCCCGTGCCAAGTCCCATTACCCGACCGGCATATCACATGTGCAGGGCGCAACGGTGTCACGCTGTGCTGCACCTGGTATGCCTTGGCGAACGTAGTCACACAGGGGAGGAACTTCTGAGTGTAATGAACAGAGAAATCGACAGATGGCTGTCTCCGCGCAAACTGAAAATCGGAACCATGTTGACCGACAACGGAAAGAACATGGTGTCTGCTCTGCGTCAAGGAAGGTTGTGCCATGCGCCATGCATGGCTCACGTGTTCAATCTGGTTGTCAAGCGGTTCCTAAAATCCACCATCCCACTGCAAGACATCCTTAAAATGTCACGTAAACTTTGCATGCATTTCAGCCATTCCTACACCGCAAAGCACACCCTCCTTGAGCTGCAGCGGCAGAACGGAATTCCACAGCATCGCCTGATCTGCGACGTTGCAACAAGGTGGAATTCAACCCTACACATGTTAGACCGCCTTTACGAGCAGCGAAAGGCCATCACCGATTTCCTGATGTTACAAGCGGATAAAGGTACTCCCCTGTGTAACTTCGATGTCAGCCATTGGCAGCTCATGCGTGACACCTGCCGCTTGCTCAGGCCCTTTGAGGAGGCCACGCTATTCGTGAGTCGGCAGGACTATGGGATGAACGACGTCATTCCTCTGTTGCACGTCCTGGACAAATGCTGTTAAACAAATGCTGTTAACAATGGCTGGTCAGGGTGCGGTAGACGTGGCGCACAGATCTCAACGCCACATGACCCCTGTGGGGGCAGGACAGGAAGAAGAGGAGGAGGTAGAGGAGGACATTTGTGCTCAGGAATTATTGAGTGAAATGGGTGGTTTTTCCACTCAGCGGACAGGAGTGGAGGAGCAGGAGCATCTGGTAGAGGAGGAGGAGGAGGAGACAGAGGACCCAGACGCACCGTGGCAGTATGCTGTGGAGATGGAGGCAGGGAGTCCCTCGCATTCCTTGGCACAAATGGCCCATAGCATGCTCGGTTGCTTGCGTAGCGACAGCCGAATAATAACCATCAGACAGAGGGATGACTTTTTTGGCTGTCCACCTTGTTGGACCCTCGCTACCGTTCAAAAATGGTGGCCTTTTTCACACCTGCTGAGAGGGAGGCCAAAATAACGTACTATAAAAACCACCTATGTAGTCAGTTGGTCTCTGCCTTTCTGCGCCAACGTCCATCCTCAGACACTGTGGGCCCTGTGCGCTCGCGTTCCGCTGCCATGGCAGCAGGGGAGGGGTGGGGTGGTAGGAGCAGTGGCAGCTCCACCAGCAGCGGCTGCCTCAGTCTGCAGTCGATGATGAGTAGCTTTCTTCACCAGCGCAGTGAGGAAACTACTAACCAGCCGCAGCAGCAGCAGCAGCAGCAGCATCAGGTGGACCTGGAGCAGGACCTCAAACAACAGGCTTGGGCCTACTTGGACAGCACCCTGCCAACCGAGGTAGACAATCCCCTTGACTACTGGGCAACGAAACTTGACCTTTGGCCCCAACTAGCTGAATTTGCCCTTGAAAGGCTGTCATGCCCGGCCAGTAGCGTGGCATCGGAGCGCGTGTTTAGTGCGGCAGGAGGTATTGTAACTCCGCGGAGGACACGACTGTCCACCCAAAGTGTGGAGAGACTCACGTTTGTGAAAATGAATCAGGCGTGGATTAGTCTGGATTTCAAACCACCAGTTCCTGACACAACTGACTAAATCCGCCATGAATCATGCCCCAAACATGTGCCACTTTCAGGTCTCCTCACACACTGCTGGTGTGTTCCATTTTTTGTCATAGGGTGCTGGCAGATTACGGGCCTCCCATAGCTGCTGCTGCCAGCCCCTAATCTGCCATGGGCCCCTATACCCGCCTCCTCATGCTGCTGCCAAGTCCAGAGTCTCTCATGGGTCCCTGTACGGCCTCCCATTGCTGCTGTCTCCATCGCCACACTCTGCCATGTGCCACTTTCAGGTCTCCTCACACTGCTGGTGTTTCCATTTTTTTCATAGGGTGCTGGCAGATTACGGGCCTCCCATAGCTGCTGCCAGGCCCCTAATCTGCCATGGGCCCCTATACCGCCTCCTCATGCTGCTGCCAGCCAGAGTGCCATGGGTCCACGGCCTCCCATTGCTGCTGTCTCATGCCACACTCTGCCATGTGCCACTTTCAGGTCTCCTCACACTGCTGGTGTGTTCAATTTTTTGACATAGGGTGCTGGCAGATTACGGGCCTCCCATAGCTGCTGCCAGGCCCCTAATCTGCCATGGGCCCCTGTACCGCCTCCTCATGCTGCTGCCAGGTCCAGAGTCTCTCATGGGTCCCTGTACGGCCTCCCATTGCTGCTGTCTCCATCGCCACACTCTGCCATGTGCCACTTTCAGGTCTCCTCACACACTGCTGGTGTGTTCCATTTTTTTGTCATAGGGTGCTGGCAGATTACGGGCCTCCCATAGCTGCTGCCAGGCCCCTAATCTGCCATGGGCCCCTGTACCGCCTCCTCATGCTGCTGCCAGGTCCAGAGTCTCTCATGGGTCCCTGTACGGCCTCCCATTGCTGCTGTCTCCATCGCCACACTCTGCCATGTGCCACTTTCAGGTCTCCTCACACACTGCTGGTGTGTTCCATTTTTTGACATAGGGTGCTGGCAGATTACGGGCCTCCCATAGCTGCTGCCAGGCCCCTAATCTGCCATGGGCCCCTATACCGCCTCCTCATGCTGCTGCCAGGTCCAGAGTCTCTCATGGGTCCCTGTACGGCCTCCCATTGCTGCTGTCTCCATCGCCACACTCTGCCATGTGCCACTTTCAGGTCTCCTCACACTGCTGGTGTGTTCAATTTTTTGTCATAGGGTGCTGGCAGATTACGGGCCTCCCATAGCTGCTGCCAGGCCCCTAATCTGCCATGGGCCCCTGTACCGCCTCCTCATGCTGCTGCCAGGTCCAGAGTCTCTCATGGGTCCCTGTACGGCCTCCCATTGCTGCTGTCTCCATCGCCACACTCTGCCATGTGCCACTTTCAGGTCTCCTCACACACTGCTGGTGTGTTCAATTTTTTGACATAGGGTGCTGGCAGATTACGGGCCTCCCATAGCTGCTGCCAGGCCCCTAATCTGCCATGGGCCCCTATACCGCCTCCTCATGCTGCTGCCAGGTCCACAGTCTCTCATGGGTCCCTGTACGGCCTCCCATTGCTGCTGTCTCCATCGCCACACTCTGCCATGTGCCACTTTCAGGTCTCCTCACACTGCTGGTGTGTTACATTTTTTGTCATAGGGTGCTGGCAGATTACGGGCCTCCCATAGCTGCTGCCAGGCCCTAATCTGCCATGGGCCCCTGTACCGCCTCCTCATGCTGCTGCCAGGTCCAGAGTCTCTCATGGGTCCCTGTACGGCCTCCCATTGCTGCTGTCTCCATCGCCACACTCTGCCATGTGCCACTTTCAGGTCTCCTCACACACTGCTGGTGTGTTCAATTTTTTGACATAGGGTGCTGGCAGATTACGGGCCTCCCATAGCTGCTGCCAGGCCCCTAATCTGCCATGGGCCCCTATACCGCCTCCTCATGCTGCTGCCAGGTCCAGAGTCTCTCATGGGTCCCTGTACGGCCTCCCCATTGCTGCTGTCTCCATCGCCACACTCTGCCATGTGCCACTTTCAGGTCTCCTCACACTGCTGGTGTTACATTTTTTGTCATAGGGTGCTGGCAGATTACGGGCCTCCCATAGCTGCTGCCAGGCCCCTAATCTGCCATGGGCCCCTGTACCGCCTCCTCATGCTGCTGCAGGTCCAGAGTCTCTCATGGGTCCCTGTACGGCCTCCCATTGCTGCTGTCTCCATCGCCACACTCTGCCATGTGCCACTTTCAGGTCTCCTCACACACTGCTGGTGTGTTCAATTTTTTGTCATAGGGTGCTGGCAGATTACGGGCCTCCCATAGCTGCTGCCAGGCCCCTAATCTGCCATGGGCCCCTATACCGCCTCCTCATGCTGCTGCCAGGTCCAGAGTCTCTCATGGGTCCCTGTACGGCCTCCCATTGCTGCTGTCTCCATCGCCACACTCTGCCATGTGCCACTTTCAGGTCTCCTCACACACTGCTGGTGTGTTCAATTTTTTGACATAGGGTGCTGGCAGATTACGGGCCTCCCATAGCTGCTGCCCAGGCCCCTAATCTGCCATGGGCCCTATACCGCCTCCTCATGCTGCTGCCAGGTCCACAGTCTCTCATGGGTCCATGTGCTGTCTCCATCGCCACTCTGCCATGTGCCACTTTCAGGTCTCCTCACACTGCTGGTGTGTTCCATTTTTTGACATAGGGTGCTGGCAGATTACGGGCCTCCCATAGCTGCTGCCAGGCCCCTAATCTGCCATGGGCCCCTATACCGCCTCCTCATGCTGCTGCCAGGTCCAGAGTCTCTCATGGGTCCCTGTACGGCCTCCCATTGCTGCTGTCTCCATCGCCACACTCTGCCATGTGCCACTTTCAGGTCTCCTCACACACTGCTGGTGTGTTCAATTTTTTGTCATAGGGTGCTGGCAGATTACGGGCTCCCATTGCTGCTGCCAGGCCCGTAATCTGCCATGGGCCCCCGTACCGACTCCTCATGCTGTGACGTTGCAACAAGGTGGAATTCAACCCTACATATGTTAGACCGCCTTTACGAACAGCGAAAGGCCATCACAGATTTCCTGATGTTAAAAAGCGGATAAAGGTACTCCCTGTGTAACTTAGATGTCAGCCATTGGCAGCTCATGCGTGACACCTGCGCTTGCTCAGGCCCTTTGAGGAGGCCACGCTATTCGTGAGTCGGCAGGACTATGGGATGAACGACGTCATTCCTCTGTTGCACGTCCTGGAACAAATGCTGTTAACAATGGCTGGTCAGGGTGCGGTAGACGTGGCGCACAGATCTCAACGCCACATGACCCCTGTGGGGCAGGACAGGAAGAAGAGGAGGAGGTAGAGGAGGACATTGGTGCTCAGGAATTATTGAGTGAAATGGGTGGTTTTTCCACTCAGCGGACAGGAGTGGAGGAGCAGGAGCATCTGGTAGAGGAGGAGGAGGAGGAGGAGACAGAGGACCCAGACGCACCGTGGCAGTATGCTGTGGAGATGGAGGCAGGGAGTCCCTCGCATTCCTTGGCACAAATGGCCCATAGCATGCTCGCTTGCTTTGCGTAGCGACAGCCGAATAATAACCATCAGACAGAGGGATGACTTTTTGCTGTCCACCTTGTTGGACCCTCGCTACACTACCGTTCAAAAATGGTGGCCTTTTTCACACCTGCTGAGAGGGAGGCCAAAATAACGTACTATAAAAACCACCTATGTAGTCAGCTGGTCTCTGCCTTTCTGCGCCAACGTCCATCCTCAGACACTGTGGGCCCTGTGCGCTCTCGCGTTCCGCTGCCATGGCAGCAGGGGAGGGGTGGGGTGGTAGGAGCAGTGGCAGCTCCACCAGCAGCGGCTGCCTCAGTCTGCAGTCGATGATGAGTAGCTTTCTTCACCCAGCGCAGTGAGGAAACTACTAACCAGCCGCAGCAGCAGCAGCATCAGGTGGGACCTGGAGCAGGACCTCAAACAACAGGCTTAGGCCTACTTGGACAGCACCCTGCCAACCGAGGTAGACAATCCCCTTGACTACTGGGCAACGAAACTTGACCTTTGGCCCCAACTAGCTGAATTTGCCCTTGAAAGGCTGTCATGCCCGGCCAGTAGCGTGGCATCGGAGCGCGTGTTTAGTGCGGCAGGAGGTATTGTAACTCTCCGCGGAGGACACGACTGTCCACCCAAAGTGTGGAGAGACTCACGTTTGTGAAAATGAATCAGGCGTGGATTAGTCTGGATTTCAAACCACCATTTCCTGACACAACTGACTAAATCCGCCATGAATCATGCCCCAAACATGTGCCACTTTCAGGTCTCCTCACACTGCTGCCAGGTGTGTTCCATTTTTTGTCATAGGGTGCTGGCAGATTACGCGCCTCCTCATGCTGCTGCCAGGTCCAGAGTCTCTCATGGGTCCCCTGTACGGCCTCCCATTGCTGCTGTCTCCATCGCCACACTCTGCCATGTGCCACTTTCAGGTCTCCTCACACACTGCTGGTGTGTTGAATTTTTTGACATAGGGTGCTGGCAGATTACGGGCCTCCCATACTGCTGCCAGGCCCCTAATCTGCCATGGGCCCCTATATACCGCCTCCTCATGCTGCTGCCAAGTCCAGAGTCTCTCATGGGTCCCTTGCTGCTGTCCTCCATCGCCAACAACTCTGCCCCGTGTGCCACTTTCAGGTCTCCTCACACACTGCTGGTGTGTTTGAATTTTTTTTGACATAGGGTGCTGGCAGATTACGGGCCTCCCATAGCTGCTGCCAGGCCCCCCTAATCTGCCATGGGCCCCTGTACTATATACCGCCTCCTCATGCTGCTGCCAAGTCCAGAGTCTCTCATGGGTCCCTGTACGGCCTCCCATTGCTGCTGTCTCCATCGCCACACTCTGCCATGTGCCACTTTCAGGTCTCTTCACACTGCTGGTGTGTTGAATTTTTTTTGACATTGGGTGCTGGCAGATTACGGGCCTCCCATAGCTGCTGCCAGGCCCCTAATCTGCCATGGGCCCCTATATAACCGCCTCCTCAATGCTGCTGCCAGTCCAGAGTCTACTCATGCAGTGTCCCTGTACGGCCTCACCATTGCTGCTGTCTCCATCGCCACACATCCTGCCATGTGCCACACTTTTCAGGTCCTCCCTCACACACTGCTTGTCGTGTAGAATTTTTTGACATAGGGTTGGCTGGCAGATTTACGGGAGTACCTCCCATACAAGCTGCTGCCAGGCCCCTAAATCTGCCATGGGCCCCCGCTCGATACCGCCTCCTCATGCTGCTGCCAAGTCCAGAGTCTCTCATGGGTCCCTGTACGGGCCTCCCATATGCTAGCTGCCCAGGACGATACAGCGATACGGTCGCAGCAGATTTTCAGTGAGGTTAAACGCAGGACGATAAAGCAGCCAGCTGCACTGTGCCTAACCCACCACGGCCCATAGTGGTGCCGGGGGTTCACGGAGGAAGTACAGTCCTGCGCTTGTGAGGAGTTAGCGGGTGCAAAGTTTCCTACATCGGGCGGAGTGGCAAGTTTCTGAGTCGTCAAGCCGCCCGTAGGAAGTAACGAAGCCCGTGATGTCGACTAAGTGGCCATAAAGTGTCACATGCGTGGCCAGGGGTCCCATGTGACCTGGGACTACAGCGTACGCGTCAGCATATGCAGCGTCGCATTCGGTGGCCCATGGGAAAACCTTGATAAAGAAACGGCCGTTTCTAGCCTGCCCCCAGCCCAGGTTGTCCATTTTGTCATAGGTTGCAGGCAGATTACAGCCTTCCCATAGGTGCCCCCCGGCCCCATATCGGCCATCGGGGCCCC